ACCCACCCACCCACAGACACACACATGCACATATATAACATGGAGGTGCCAGTTTTAGCTCATTAGTGAGTTATGTACTTCAAGGTATGATTCAACCTCTTTGTTATTATCCATAAATCCATTTGAGGAAGTTTCCAAAATGCCTTTTAAAAGCACCGAGCTCCAAATCATGTCCTGAGTTCCATGGGTGTGAATCTGGAGTAACTACGCTTAAAGTCAAAGATTTAGCACAGAACAGATTTTGCCATCCGACCAAAGATTTTGGAATGGAAAGGCATGCAGGGGAAAGGATCAGCTAGCTAGGGTTTCAGATTTGTTTTTTCCCCCGCATTATTCTTTTCAAATTGTCATTTTTCTCCCTGAAAATTAACAGTCACAAACCCCCCCCACCTCTTGGTGCCCCCAATCCCCAACAAGGAAAACCATGTGGTACCAGTACAGAGAATGAACTGGTTTCCAACAGGTTCATGCTGTTCATTTCTCCCATCCCACTGGAGCTCAGAGCTCATAGAGGCGTGGTCCTCTGTCTCTACCAGCTGGTGCACAGTTGTCTAACTGGTTGTACTATGAGGGGATTGCAAAAAAAGCTGGGGTTTCCCCCACCACCATCACCTTCCTGCTCAATGCTTTTGTTATCTATTAATTGCACTCTTCACTGTTGAAATATCAAGAAGCTATTTTAATAAGGATAAAGGGGGGGGGGATTGCACCTGTCGCCATAGCCAGCTCAAAGCACATGCACATAAAGAATCTCTCATCTATCACAGCAGAGAGATACCTTATCACAAATCAAGGTTCATGGTTTCAATTTTTTTTGACATAAAATGAATAATTGCTTCCCCCATCTCCAAGGTAGAACCACCTCTCATCACACCCCCCACACTTCCACACCCTCAAAATCAGAGACAGAAAAGCCTATGCAGTGTATCTGCCCACAGTTAAAAAAAAAGGAGGGGGGGGAATCCTTGTATCTCCCCAAACATGAACATAGGCCAACCCCCCTCCCCACAGCACCTGCACCAAAAAGGCAAAACCACCATCCCAAAGGATGTGAAAAGAGCCTCCCATGGCAAGATGCTAAAGAACTGGAAAGGAGACATCTGCTTCCGAGCAGTTAAAAATTCCTCCCCGCCACTACCCCTCACACCACACATCACAACACATCCAGCCAGCAGTCTGGGGCTTTCTGAACCAAAAGAAATGTAAAAATCTTCAGCTCTACCTGTTTTGTTCTTCTCATACAGCACAGCATGATTGTATTGTCCCCTTCCTTCCTTCTTCTTCCTTCCTTCTCCTCTCTCCTTTTTCCTCCTCTCTCTCTTATCTCTCCCCCCCACCCTCTCCACTCCCTCCCTCTCTCTCTCCCTCTCCCTCTCCCTCTCTCTCTCACTCACACACACACCAGGGCAGTTAGCAGCAACTGTAAGGTCCACAGATATTGCTCATCACACATGCACACACTGTCTCCCTCTCTCTTTCTCTCTCTCTCCTTCCCTCCCTCCCTCCTTCCTGAAAAGTAACCATTTAGCCTTACCCTTTGCTTCCTATCCTTTTATCAGCTCTCGATCCACAAAAGAACCTTCCCTCTAATCCCATGGCAATGCAGGTTTTTTAAAAGCCTTTGGTAAGGGACTTTGTTGAATACTTTT